GGCTTCTCGGGCCCAAGTAATCGGGAAAGCGAGTCAAAGGCTTGACTCTCTCTCTTTTTCATCCCAAGAAACCAGATAGGAAAAGTAATGAACAACGGAAGATGGTTGAAGTATTTTAAATGGATGAGGATTACTTAAAACTTAAGAAAGGCTCCTCGGGCCCAAGTAATCCAGAAAGCGAGTCAAAGGCTTGACTCTCTCTATTTTTTATCTTATATTAAGAAATAGTTTTGATATAATTAACGTGATTTAATTGAATGACGATTACTTGAAGCTTAAGAAAGGCTTCTCGGACCCAAGTAATCGGGAGAGTGGGTCAAAGGCTTGACCCTCTTTTTTTTTCCATCTAAGTGTTTGAAAAAAATAGATTTGAATTTGTTGTATTGTACATCCTTTAAAGAAGACAATTGTTTGAACTTAAGAAAGGCTCCTCGGGCCCAAACAATCGAGAAGAGAAATCAAAGGCTCGATTCCAACTCCCTTGTCATCTTTATCGAAATTGTGTTTAAGTATTGTTAAGTGTTTTAAGTTTGCTTTAATAAAATGCTCGACATTGATCGAGTTTTTATACTTGTGTATGGAAAAGTTAATGGTTTGAACTAAACTGTAAGGAGATCCTAATGGTTAATACACTCGACTTACACAGGTGAAAATAGCTCGACGTAAATAGAGAATCTTTTTGAAAAATGATTTGATATAAGAATTTGAAGGGACTAATCAATTAAAGGTGAATATATAAATTTTGTAAAGATAATAACCATAACAAAATAGTTAATCAATTACATCATATTTTAAACCACTAATCAAATTCATTAACTTTTTATTATTTTTATTAATTAGTGAAAAGAAATAAATAGATAAACAAGTATATCACTTAACCAAACTATCTAAACATCAACATTATTTAAACAAAATATAATTAACTAAAAATAATTCATAAAAAGGAAAAGGGGGGTCTCAAAAGAGAGGAGGGTGTGCATATGGAGAGTTAATTCATATTATTGGGCCCAAATTAAACCCAACAAATATATTTAAATTTTTATAAAATAATTAACTAAATAATTAGTTAAAATAAAAAGAGAAAAGAAAACGTGATCTGGTTATCTTCTACAAAACGCAGGCAATATGAAAAAGGGAAAGTTGACGAACTCACCTTGCGGTCGACGAAAGTGCTCCTCCGGCGGAATCGTTTGTTCATGTAATTCGGGATGGAAGGTATGTAGACCCATTCCTCATCCCTCTTATTTGTCCTCCCCTCCAAACCTCTTGGTCTCGCGGCAGTGTATGGTTGTGGCGGAATCAGTTGCTCGGAGATTTTTGAACGTTGTTGCACATCAATGTTGTTGTTTGGTTCGACTTAGCAAAACATCAAGCTGCTTGAAGTTATCCCAACCGAAGTTCACGCGTATACTTGGATCGTCATTGGTGTCACGATAAGGAGAAGAAGATTATGCAATATTGTTGTTGTGGAATCCGCGGATGAAATGCAGGTTGTTGTTGTTTGTGAATCTGTGCACGCCAACTATTTGTGAAAAGGTTTTGTAGTTGTTGTTATCGTCTGAAGTTTGAATTGAAGAGATGATGTTCAAGAACTCAAAAAAAGTTTTGAAGAATCTATGGGTGATGTGCTCTACTTGTTGCTGAGTTGAGGTTATAGGATATTGCCACAAGCGGTTTTCGAATTCGACGCAGCGGTGTCCTCTGCTAGTGCTTCTTATGTTGTGAAGAATAGGTTGTATATCCTTGAGTGAAACGCCAGTTGTTGTTGTTTGTGAATCTTGATGGAATTGATAATTGTTGAAATCGTGCTGCTGATGCTAGGAAGGTGCTGAGTTCTTGGTGATGTGAACGGCCTATGATGCTCTTGTTGGCCTCTCCCCTTGTGGAAGATTTCTCGACCAAGACGTATAGTTAGCTAATAATGTTGTGCGATTCACAACCCCAAAATACAACCTTCTCCAATCATAGCTTGAAAGAGTCCAAAAGCTTTATCGGGTGGCTTACATTTTCCAAACACCGCTATCAGCTTGATGAATACAGTAATGTGATCTGTACTCAAACTGCTGCTCAACGCAAATCTTTTCATGTTCATTTTTTGTTTTGGATTTTGTGATATAAGTTAAACAGTGGATGAAGTAAATGAAGCATATTGTAAGTGGGAAAAAAATGGTGGAAGAAATAAAGTGAGGGTAAATGTTATATGGTTTATATTAAGGTGAGGTAACTGATGGAGAACAGTGTGAGGTTGAATGGAGTGGGTCAGAAAAATGTAGGGAAGAGGTTGAAAATGGAGATTAAGCTATATCACAGTTATTCTCAGGGGGCTGCAAGTTGATGGAGGGTTGATGATGAAGGGGTTATTGTGTATTTCGATGATGGAGAGGGTGAGTTGTAACAAGCTGAAGGTGATGAAGACATGAGGGTTTAGAAGGGATGGAGATGATGATATTGAGGGTTGGAACCTGAACTCACAGCAGAGGGCTTTATTTGTTGAAGAAATTGAAGGTTAGTCATGAAGGTTGGCTCTTGAGGGTTAAAGCTATTGCAGAGCTTGATATCACGATGTCGTCGCGATGAAGTGCGTGAAATTGTTGTGGCTTAAAACATGTTGTTACTGAGCTCGCGGTAGTATGGTGTTAGCTCAACCTTGTGTTATCCTTTTCTGAATTTAATGTCGCAGGTTGTGGTGTTATGGGAGCTGCATTCCCTTGTTGCCCAAAGAAGCTCTAGCTGTTAGAAGGAGAACTAGTAGATCCGCCATGATGGGGAAAGTTTGTGATTTGTGCTAGTTGTTGTGCAGAGTGGAAATTAAAGGAAAAGAATTTAGAGATTTTCTTTCTCGGTTGTGAAGGATTCCAAGTATTATTGGCTTCCAAGAATCCCTTCAATGAATGAAAGGAAACCTTTTTATTGAGAGCCATCATTGGTGTTCCATTTTGTTCTTTTTCTATGCATTTCATGTCGTACAGTTTTCGAAACATTGGTGGTGTTTTGTTGATATTTCTTTCACGGCGAGAATGGCTATGTGAACAGTTCGGCCTTTTTATGGTGTGGAGAAAAAAACAGAGGGAGAAGTTTGTGAGAAGATGGTTTTTCGTAATTATGAAGGTGAGAAGATGGACATGAGCAGGTTGAGTGGAAGAAAAACGAAGGAGGCGGAAAGATATCACGTGGTGGTTGTCCACGTGAAGCTTGAAAATGGTGGAGAAACAAAGGTGATGATAGCTTGTAATATTGTTAATGTTATGATCAGAAAAAGAATGTATATGGTATGAGTTTATGTGGTTGTTTTAGGAGTTGTTATTTGAAGAGGTTTGAACAATAGGTTGAAGAAGAGGGGTTCACAGACGGAGGCTCTTGTTGTGTGTAGAGCTGCGGTTTTAATGCTTGGTTCGTGTGGTGGCATAACGAGTTGATGTGTTGTTTTTTTGTTGTTCTCCTCCGAAGAAGAGGTATGCTCCTTATTTTCAATTCAAAACCAGCTGTATCAGAAATTAGTCTTTGTCCTATTGTTGTGACAGGTGTGTTGTGAAGCAGGCAGAGAGTGTTTTGGACCATTGTGAATTTAGTAGCAGCAAGGTTTATGCGGATTTTTTTACTGGACTACCCTCTTTTGAAATTAAATATACTATAATACTCTCTTTTGAATTTTTTTTTACCAAAGTACCCTACTTCCATCACGAGCTCGCCCATTGGAGTGACGGACCACTGCTAATTTTTTTTTGGGCTTATGAGTTCGCCCATTGGATTGGCGTGCTTGTGAACAAGTTTGGGCTCAATATGAGCTCGTCCATTGGAAGGACGAGCTTGTACACGTTGATTTTTTTTTAATTTTTTTTTCTGAGTTTTATTTATTTATTGTAATTAATTATTAGATTGTTAATTTTAATAAATAATATAATTTTTATTATAAATAATAATAAAAATTAAATAATGTTAATAATTTTTAAAAAATTAAATTATTAAATACTCATTAATAAATATAAAAATGTAAATAATTTTAACATTGCAAGATTAAGTTACAACAATAAAATTGATTAAAATAAAAATACATTTCATCGAATATGTCCCCCAGTTCCACACCTAGGAATCCTTCGCTGTCTATATACTCTGCCCAAACGCTCATTTATAGTTGATTCAGATGAGTCGGAAGACATGTCTTCATTGTGATGTGCTGTAGGGGGGTTTGTCTGCCGTGAAGAGGGTCCTGGTTGCTCATCGAGAAGATCATCAATGTTAAAATCTGGCATCTGCATCAGTTGCTCGTCTGTCAACAAAAATTGTTGGAATGAGTATGGTGGTTGCGGGTAGGTTTCGGACCGGGGTTGTTGAAAGGTTGGGTAGTAGACGTCATCAGGCTTGAAGTTCGGGGTGGGTTGAGTAAAGGTAGTGTTGAAGGTCAAGGCGGGTTGAGAGTAGGTTGTGTTGGAGGGTTGATATTGGAAATGAGGGTCGGTATGGTCAAAGTTGGGCGGTTGGACTGGAGTGAACTGTATGGGTGGTCGGAGGTATGGTTGGGGCTGATATTGTTGGCTGTATTGGTAGTTATAGTTTTGTTGATGGGGTGGATTGTTGGGTGTTTGTTGTTGGTATGTATGTTGAGATGTGTAGGTTGGTGGCACATCCTGATGCATTGATGCCGTAGTTGTTTGTGTTGATGATGATCCTTGCATGCGTGGGTCGGTCAAAAATTGGTCCGGAGCAATGTGCACATAAGGAATGGCAGGAAACCAAGTTAAATACTCTTGACTTGGCTTGCGTTCACCTAACACAATGTCCCCCTATAAAATCACATCTCTTCTGTGTCTCCATTCTCTCACCTCCTCCTTGTTTAACTGTCGCCAATTAACTCTTTGTGCTTTTCTCATAGTCATGGCGTGGTGTTCCCTTAGACACCTTAGTGGGGGAGGGATTTGTTGGTTTAGTCTAAACTGGAGTGTTACTCTATCCGTTTGATGCATCTCAACGGTATAGAAACAAATAAGGAAAGTTGTTGCACTCTAGATTTGGCTATCTTCAAGCGTCGGCGGCGGATATCGAATGTACGGTCTCCATATGAACTGCCACACAAAAAAGGAAATTAATATACCATTAAGGAGTAGAACCGATGACTATTTCCACGTGGTTTGAAACTTACATCGTGTTCTCGCATATGGTCCAATGCGTTTCGACATCCTTGGAGATGAAAACGAGGATTTGCAGTGTAGTTCATTCCTCTTTGCGCCCATCTTGTATAACCAAAAAAAAAATTGTTAGACATAGTTGAATAACAAATATTTATATTATGTACACATAAATGAGTCTTTTAATAAAGAAATACCTTTGTGCATATGGATGCGAGGGTTCCACTGTAGTGACAGGAGTGAACAATGGTATACGTGTGAATGCCCATGAAGTTAGTAGGAGTGCACAACCACTCAAGCTCCTAACACTTTTCACTGCTGCCTTGCACATTTTTCTATACAATTTTGCCAGGCATGCAGAACCCCAATTGTTGCCTTGCACATTTCTCTATACAATTTTGCCAGGCATGCAGAACTCCAACTATAGGTGCCGCATTTAAGAAGATCCCCTACGAAAGGGATCCAAGAAGAATGCAATAGATTCTGACTTTTGTCAGGAAACAAAATAGTAGCGATTACAAGTAAAATATAAATTTTAGCTTCTAAGAGAACGTCTTCTTGGGTGGGGGCAGGTTTATTTTTTAAAGTTTCATATAAACCCTCTAGCCAGGTTATCCTAACAGAACCTTTAATTTTATCCTCTTCTGTAGGTTCCACCCCCAAGTTTTCCATGTAAATGTAGTTTGTTACCTCGGTGGGACCGTTGATGGCTATTCCATCAACTCTTAGACCAAGTAACATACACACATCTTCAAGCGTTATTGTGAATTCACCTGTTGGGAGGTGAAAAGTGTGTGTTTCCGGTCTCCATTTCTCCAATAGCGCCACAACTAAGCTTGAGTCGATTTTTAAACTTTTCATTTTTGATATATTTGCAAAACCTGCTATCTCAAGATACGCCATTATTCTCGCACTCGCATGAATAGGAGCATGCGAATGCACTCTAAACCTTGGGGCATTTGTCTCCAACAACATTGAACAAACAACAACATTGAACAAACAAAATGTATATCATTATTTTTGCAACTAAATAATATGTAACCAAACTACTAGAGACATTATTTTTTAACCAAACTTACACTAGCTTGGATATTTTGCTGTGGGCCACGGTGTTCTTCGCCCATCCACAACAACGGCATGGTAAAAATGCAGGAGTAGAGAAATAAAATACTTGTGTTAAAAATGCAAGTGTAGAGAATGTAGAAACTTTGAGTAGAAAAATAGAAGTAGAAATCCAAATTTATAGAAAAACGATTGTGTGCATGCATGCAATTAAAATTTAAATGTGTCAACTATTTTTTTTGCATGAAATGACCATTGCATGCAAACCTATTCTGCTTAGTCTTCAAGGTGTGCATGCATGCAAAAGCACTCTTCCATAGGTCTTACACAAATGTCGTTTGCATGCAGAACAAAGCAACACGAGCTCGTCCTTGGATTGGACGAGAATGCACACTACAACACAAACCCGTCCATGCATTGGACGAGCATGAACTAGGAAGGCCTTGCAAAGGACGAGCTTGTACTAAGCTAGGATCTAGCATGCCCTTGCAAGCTTGTACTAACATAAGTATTCCATTCGTTCCATTATTTCTCTTATATACTTATTGGTATACGAATATATGCAACATAAACACTCTACTATCAATATTCATAAAAACTCTACTATCAATATTCATAAACACTCTACTATCAATATTCATAATCTACTATCAATATTCACTACCAAGATAATTCTCACATTCGAAAATATCCCAGAGAAACGTAATTCTTACATGCCACTTCAACGGTGTTTTTTCAGCAAATAGCCCTGTTGGTTTCTCGTTCAGCAACACAGATACATACACGTTTAAAATTCATGTGAATTCTGATTTTTTCCATTTAAAAGATAGAATGGGAAAAAAATTGGCACGAAGCGTTGAGGAAATAATTTATCTCCATCCAACACTTAATGAAGACGACCGTACAATTTTTTACTTAATGACGCCGATCAGAAACGACGAAGATGTGATGGCAATGTTTCGGTGCCACATGATGATTGGTCAGTTACATACAATTGAGTTGTATGTCCGACTACTAGACAACCCCAAAACATTTCCGACGCAAGAGACACAGTCACACTGCTACGGGTACAGCCAAACATCCGACGATGAACCAACACAAAACAACTTACCTTTCATACCAAATGAGGAGGTTGGAGAAGCAAGCGACGACGATATTCAGGAGGTCAGGATGCAAGATATTTTTGGTGACAGTGATGACGAAGACAATGAAGATATGGTTGTACAGCCGATCCGTGCACAACCCATAAGTTTGGAAATGCTATTCAAAACCATAAAGGTGACGAAATCGAGATTGGGATGGAGTTTGAAAACAAGGAAGCTTGCGTACTCGCTCTGCAGCATTGGCACATAACACGCAGTGTTGACTATTGGGTGAATTAGTCTGACAATGAACGATATGTCATTAAATGTAAGAAACAAGATTGCGGTTTCAAGTGCAGAGCTTCCCTGAGAAAAAAGAACTCGAAATGGGTGATAGGTAAGCTTTATGGGTCTCACACATGCAGTTCGACGTCTATGGCACAAGACCATAGGAAGCTCAGTTCAGAAATGGCTAGCCATAGCATCAGGGAACTTGTCAACAGCGACGCCTCACTCAAAGTAAAGGTGATCATTGCCCATATTCTAGAAAAATACGGGTACATTATATCTTATAGGAAGGCGTGGATCGCTAAGTGCAAGGCAGTAGAGTCGCTTTATGGAAATTGGGAAACATCTTACAACGACCTACCGCAGTGGTTACTGGTAATGAAAACCTTCCTTCCAGGAACCATTATAGATTTACAAACACTACCTGTGATATCAAGTGATGGTTCCCAAATCTCTGGAAAACAAATATTTCATCGTCTGTTTTGGGCATTTCGTCCGTGTATACGTGGCTTCGCCTACTGTAAGCCCATTGTGCAAGTAGACGAAACTTGGTTGTATGGCAAGTACAGAGGAACTCTATTGATGGCGGTGGCACAAGATGGCAACGCAAATATTTTCCCAATAGCATTCGCATTGGTCGAAGGTGAAACAAAGGAAGCGTGGAGCTTTTTTCTGAGGAACCTGAGATTACACGTGACACCATAATCGAATTTGTGTCTAATATCTGATAGACACGAATCGATAAAGAGTGCATACAACAATCCCAAAAACAGATGGCATCATCTACCATCTTCACATGTCTACTGCATAAGGCACATCGCTCAGAATTTCATGCGCGATATTAAGGACAAGGATCTACGCAAAAAACTTGTTAACATGGGTAACAAAATAAATTTCACTTATCTCAAGTTTCGTAGCACACTTTTATCATTTTTTCACACAATTTTTCTTACAGATTACGCATTGACAGAGGTTACATTTAATTACTATCGCGGAGAAATCAGAAGAACAAACATTGAAGCTTCAAATTGGATAGACAACATTCCTAGGGAGAAGTGGGCTAGAGCATTTGACGGAGGGCAACGTTGGGGACATATGACATCTAACTTGGCAGAGACAATAAACTCTGTACTAAAGGCAACAAGAAACCTTCCAATCACTGCATTGGTCCAGTCTACATACTATCGAATGGGTTCGCTCTTTGGTAAAAGAGGACACAAATGAACCAAAATGTTATCTTCAGGGAAAGTGTTTACAGATGGTTATAACAAAGGCATGGCTGATGAGGTAGCTAAGGCTAACACACACAACGTCATGCAATTTGATCGCGAAAGATTCTGCTTCATGGTGCAGGAAAAGACTAATTATAACGACGGTCGTCCAACGGGTACTTTCAGTGTTGACTTGCGGAATCGTTTCTGTGACTGTGGAAAATTTCAAGCATTTCACTTGCCTTGCTCCCACGTGATAGCGGCATGTTCTAGCATACGACAGGACTACACAATTCACATTCCAGAGGTCTTCAAAGTTCTTAACGTGTTCAAGGTCTACCAGGAAAGCTTCCTGGGACTACCGCACGAGGAGAACTAGCCAAAGTATGACGGTTTTACTCTATGCCACGACGATTCCATGAGAAGAGATAAAAAGGGGCGTCCAAAAAGTAGTAGAATTAGAACTGAGATGGACGACAGAGAAAAAGAGAAAAGAAGGTGTGGGATTTGTAGAGAAATAGGTCATATGCGTAGAAAATGTCCCAACGTTGCCGGTCCGTCAAACCGACCGAATAGATAATTTTATTGTACTACTTTTGTATGTGATCCTTCAATTATTTTTAATTCAAAACAACTTTCAAATTACAACAATACTCGCGAACTACAAACATAAAGTAGATTCGTGACTCCACAAACTAAAAAAAAAATACATGAAGCTAACATAAACTCTAACAAACAACATCGACCAACACAAACTCTAACAAACAACAGCGACCAACACAAGTGGATATGTGACTCCTCTGTTGACTTCGCCACTATGTGCTGAAAACATGCAATGGACATCTTCATCATTTTCTATACGATCTAGGTAGTACATGTACGTCCCCTCCAGGATGGCATCGGTAAGCGTTATATATGGACAACGATACTCCATCTTTCTCACAGTCACGCGACGACCGCCCAGCTGCCGAAACCCGGTGTTAATTGCTGCAACCACGGTTCTGAAATTCCACAGCGGATCTAGGTTAACACTGATTTTTTTCTCTGGTCCATAGAAAACAAGAGTTCGGACAAACATTTTTATAAATCAGATAAGTTGTCACAAATGATATTTGCTGATGCGCAATACCCTTATTTATAAAAAAAAATTACGTTTGAGCTCAACCATTCAATGACCGAGAGTCTATAAAAACTTCACACCTTAATGTCCGAACGTCAGTCATTATTTTTTTATTTCATATTCAGTAAAATATTATTAAATTAATTTAATTTAATATATAATATTATTTTAATTTGTTGTAAAATAGTTTAATACTAAATTACTTTTTAATAAGATTTAAATTACATTATTTATTAAAATTTAAATTATTATTTTATTATTAATCATATAAATTATCAATTAATGTATTAAAAAATATATTAATTACAATAAATAAATAAAACTCAGGAAAAAAAATAAAAAATAAAAATAACGTGTACAAGCTCGTCCTTCCAATGGACGAGCTCATACTGGGCTCAAATTTATTCACAAGCACGCCAATCCAATGGGCGAACTCATAAGCCCAAAAATGGTCCGTCACTCCAATAGGCAAGCTCGTGTTGAAAGTAGGGTACTTTGGTAAAAAAAATTCAAAAGAGAGTATTATGGTATATTTAATTTCAAAAGAGGGTAGTACAGTAAAAAAATCCGGTTTATGCAGGTTTTTCCTCATTTCGAGCATGGGTCTATTGGTATTGGATTTTGCCATTTTGGTGTAATACCTTTCACAATAGGTTTGGTGACTGGTTTTCTTAGAGTGTGTTGTAGGAAAATCGCATGGTCATAACAGTGTCATTGTTGATCTGTCCTTTTCCTTTGCAGGTCAATGAGGCAGCAATACTGCTTTTGGGTTTTAGAGTGTTTTTGACAGTTTGATAGCAGTAAATTGGTACAACTTGCAGGTTATAAATAAAGGTGTAGCAAGTAGGTGGTATGCGGTTTATTGGCATAGGAAAAAGCAGGTCTATTGCGAGTGGTAACAACAGGTTTTTTTTGTCCTGGTGTGAAGTGGGTGGTGGGTAGTACGAAATGGCTTTGGCTGTGAGGTTGGGGTAGCAGGCTAGTATACTGCCATGTTGGTCGGGCGTGATATTTGAAAGGTGGGGAGTCAGTATTTGGCAACCATCTCTCAACTTGTTTTCATATTATTTTATTTGACCAAATTATACAATGAGCCTTATCTGGAATGACTTTAGAGATTTAAAATGATAATGGGTTTTACCATTTTGACATGATTGATTGTGTTTGGTTATGAATTAAAATAGAATCTTGGATGACACTTTACAAATTGAC